ACCCGAGTTAGAGTCCTGGCCGTGGCTACATCAGTGATGTATAAAACTGGCACTCCATAATCGAGGTACTGTTGGCCTTCACAAACGCATCGTGGCCAGCATGGTAATGTTTGGTCAAACCACATGACTGACACTGTGTGGGGAGGCCATAATCCAGAAGCAGATTCACAAAGGTATATTTTACCGACGTTATAGATATGACACAATTTTACATTTTGACGGCAGTGTGCTGGAGGTCGTGGGTTCTATCCCAACCCTGAGGCCTGCCTATTTGGAGTTTCCATGTTCTCGCTGTGGTCGAGTGGATTTTTCTCCAGGTCCTACGGTGTTTCCCTACACATTGAGAATCAACATCACGCATTTAGAGTATTTGGCTGCTATAAAATTAAACAAATAAGCCACTTCGTTGAGCTATCATTTGTGGCCAGGTCGCTTCTGAAAACGAGCTACATAGCTCAGTGGGCCTTACCTTGTAAAATAGTACAAAAATAGTTACTTTTAAACTGTTTAATATATGATGTAATAAAAAGAGGGCGATACGTTTTGTCTGTTTCATAACAACTTCTACAACAATACATTGTATAACAATAAACAGTATATTTAAAAAAAATGTTTTAATGTACTTGGCCACGTCCCATAGATGTCAACTCTTCGTAATACTGCATTGAAATGCGTATACAGCATTAGCCGCTTCTGTACACACTCGATGTGGTTGGTGGGGGGTTTCCCGCCTTCGGGAGGCAATGCCACCATGTTTAAAGGGGGTAGTGGATGAATCGTCTTGACTCCACGCACAACAATCAATGTTCAGACATGTCACTTGTGGAGTTGAGGTATTCTACTTTCCATATTACAGGTTTTTTGGGTTAGATCACTTAAATATATAAACGTGTCGTTAAATCCGCCACCACCCGATGCAGCCAATTAATAAGGTTTGTCACGCAAACAGAACGTGGCCAATTCGTCACTAGTACAGCATACCGGTGTGTTGGAGAACAAAGCCACAACATTTACAATCTGAGTACGACGTTTCGCCAGGAATTACAACTAGCTTCATCAGGCGACAACCAGATTTGTGGAGGAAACCTCCGGTTTAACGACACGTTTATATATTCAGACGATCTAACCCAAAAAAACACTGTATTATGGATATTGGTCGCGAAAGCCTACGTGTATTCTACGTTGTATATTGTCTCCCCTTTAGGAAACACAGTACCGTACACACATCTACCGTCTCAGCAAATCCCCACCTGGTTTTCTTATTTCCAAAGCAATCATTTTGACCTTTGACCCAATCATACGGAACGCGGCCAATCTCATCCCGATGTCGGAGCTAAGCAGGGGCAGAGCCTGGATAGTGCTCCGATGGGAGGGCCACCAGGCGTGACGGGCGTTCTGGGTCACTGCGGGATCCTTTGTCAATGACGGGCCAAAGCAGAAACATCCGATGTTGAACTACACGTACGATGGCTCCGACGCCTCACACACTGACCGGTGTGGTTCAAGTCACGTGCCCCATCCAAGCAAAAAAGGTGGCTTGACACAAAAAGGGGCCGGGCGGACACGGTTTTTAAGCGATTCAAACTGCCGCGCGCTACACCGAACTTCCAAAAATCAACGAAAGTCAGCTTCGTGGCCACAATGAATTGACCGACTGAACTTGAGCCTGCCATGGCAGCAGCAGCGGTCATAAATAAAGACCCCACCCCTGGCCGTGCAACGCGCGCGCCGCCGCGACAATGTTGACGCAGTGGCGGCGAGGTCGGGTCGGAAGCACGCCGGCTCCAGCAGAGGGCGCTCGAACGTACCACGCGTTTGGTGTCGCACGTTCTGTACGCATGGCATGCACGCACGAGTTGAACTTCTTTCGCACCCTACGTTGCCAAACGTGCTAATGCGGAGGTGCGGGGTGGGAGGGGCGGGGGGCTGGCAACAAAACCTAACACAAAAACAGTTCTAAACAAATTAGTTTTCAATCTAGACTTAAAAAAGTGCATCGCTCCAGCGGCTTCCTAATATCTGAAGGAAGAGCATTCCAGACGGTCCCAGAAGCACATCTGAAAGCGCGCGATAGTGTAAACAATATTTGTTCGATGGGAAGCCAAAATCTACTGCGAGGGTGACCGGAATTTGCATGATGGTTTACGCTCCTTGACGAGATCAGCAAGTATTGTCCTTGAGACCATCAACAAAAACCCTACACACTCACTACCATCACTACCAACTACATCGCGCCACCATATTCTCTACCACGGCCGCACGAACAGCCAACACAACAGAGTGCCACTCCCTCCCCACCACAGCTGTGAATCTGGCTATCTAATCTAGCCCATTGCAGCCACCATCTTGCCGTTGTTCTTCTGCCAACAAGTCCAATTATTTTACGTGGACGGCTGTGCTCTAATTTTCTTTGGCGTGTGCATCTATTGTGTCTCTTCTCTCGTCACATCCATATCCTCATATCTCGTGCCACCACATCGAGCAGAATCAGATTTTTTCACAGATGTCCAATCGGGCTGGGTAAAAACGTTACGACAACATAAAAACACGATAGGAGCGCAAAGTACAAGAAAGGAACACAAATTACCCAAACACAGAGAGAAAACACTAAACAATCCCCACCCTACCTGGAAAAGCCCACCGAGTTATTCACTTATTTTTCACCCTCGGTCTCCCTCTACTCATCTGTCCAGCACCGGCAACATCTCTAAACGCAATGCTTCTCGTCTCTTCTCAGCACATGGCCCAAACCATCTAAGTCTCGCCACCACAATCTCGTTCAAGTAAACAAGCTAGCATCTCCCTCCGAATACGAGCACAGAGCAATGGTCATCTCTGTTGGCGGCCTGCAACCAGTGGTGGAAATTGTGCATTTATGTGGTGGGAACTAGTTTATCCAAGAGACAACCACTGTTGACTTACAATCACGTGATATTCACTTTACCGATGCCAAAGTTGGTGGCGATAATGGGCTTCGTTGACTACCATCCACAATTTGAACACCAAACCTTCTGATTGTGGGTCAAGTGTTCTGCCAAAGCACCACTGGGCCAGATCATTTGGTTCTGCTACAAACAAAATGCTGCTCCCTACTTCTCATCAACTCTCATTTACATCACAACTGCATTCCTTTTCACATCCGCATAACTGCCACGAAAATAACCACAAATCTATGCTACTCCCAGCTCCCTACAGTGTGAATCTCACCCATTCACCTGCCATCAATATCCAGCAAGGTTTGCCAACAATCAGAAAATATTAGAGCACTTCACACTTCATTACACCTAATCTTATCCCCGAATTATCCGATCACATCACACCACTAACACCTAATACTGTATGAAATAATCAGATTGCCACTCCACTGCTATTCTATCATCCAAACAACATCACTGCAAACAATATCACCTGACAGCCCACACATATTCACATCCCATCTCATTCCACCATGCATCACCGCATATTACTCATGAACAACTTATATATAAAAGTGTGCTCAATCTTATCCTATCATATCACCAACAATCTTGTTTATGGCATCACATCTCTGCAACCCTCCCCGCCATAAATTACACGCCATCACTCCACATTCCATCACGACCCATATACCATCACCACCTTTATAATCCATCACGTAACATATTTTCCCATTGCAATTTGTCATAACCTATCACCACCATCACATCTCATAACAGTCGATCGTAACCATCTCTGCTCTTCATATCATGCAACACCCAGACCACGTCCCATCATATTCCATCAAATTCCACCTCAAACCATCATATACTAGTCAATTATATCCCCATCACGCCCGACCATCACAAGGGCTCAGGGCTGATGAATGACCGGCTGGCCACAACCAAAGTAAACACACAGGATGTAATTTCGGAATGTGACCATCACCACAGCATCTGCTGTGCCTGCTGCCATGCAATATAAACGGAGGCAACGCTGCCTAAACATAAATAATACATATTTAGACGCTTGTGTCATTGCGAGTTTGTATGTTCGTGGATTTTTCTCCGCGTCCTCCGGTTTTGTTCTCAACATTTAAAAAAACATGCTTTGAGATTATTTGGCTGCGATAAATTTCCACGTGATAAGCCACAATTCGTTGAGCTGTCATTTGTGGCCAGGTGGCTTCTGAAAACGAGTGATGCTGTTCAGTGGGCCTTACCTGGTTAAAAAATAAAATAATAAATATCTTGTTTAGTTTAATAACACCACATAAATTGTATTGTTACACAGACAGAGTCTCGATCTGAATATGCAGGTTTGGAATATAAACTAAACTCCAAATAATCTAAGAGATAAGTATCATCAACAGTTGACATTGACGTATTCATTTATATTAAACCTTACCCGTTCAGCAAGCATTCTCGCCAGATTGATCAAAGCCCATCCCTCCTCATAATGACACGCTTCAAGGGCACGTGCATCGTCTGATTATGCAAAACGATGTGTCCCACTCTCAATCCCAGACGGGGCCTGTACAACCTCGCGCAGTTGGCAATGTGTGCCGATTTTCAAGTGCCCACATACCCTCGCTATGGGGCCATTGTTTAACCAGGACTAATCGCGTTACCCAACTCTATGCTTTCATTTCCCCAATTCACGTTATTCTTTAAATATTACAACATACTTCCGAGTGAGGTTTTACACGATAGCAAACCGCATGAAGTTGTCAGGTATTGGGTTCGCATTGTATTAAGCTCCGAATCAATTAGATTTGATACTCGATTTTACAATGTTGTAGCTTATTATTGCTATCCCATCCGTCACCTCTCGTTCGCATTATACCTCATCTCAAATACCAACGTTTCTCAACACTTATACCCACACCGCTTACATTTTGTCTTTTCTAAACACACACACACACAGTACAGTTAATGTTGCATTGTTTATATACTCTTCAGAAATACTGCAGACCCTTTTACAGGGCATTCGATGGCGATTACACCACAACATTGAGACGAGTCGCCTCTTTTGAAACAACTCACGGCCAAGCAGAGTCGCGTTGCCACGGGAATCAGGACCGAAGGAGTCCCAATCGCTCTGCTGCTGCTGCCACTGCTGATGATGCTGCTCCTGCTGCTGATGATGCTGCTCCTGATGATGATGTTGTTGTCCAGACTCTATGCCTACATCGGCCACAGCTTCCCTACTGACTTGCTGCTGCTGCTGATGCTGCTCCATTGTCGTTGCCTCCAGCCAATGAGTTGGTGCGTGCCAAAAAACACAACTCTCTCTCCACCACCACCTTCACATTCACACACGACAAATATTCAACACAACGTTAACTCCCCCTCACCCCAACTCCCCGCAACCAATGTGTATGAATTAGACCTTCCTCTTGTGTACACTGTATCCCCCACCCACAGCAAGTCTTTGCCCGCTTCCTTAGCTGCAGCCTATGAGGAAATAACTGCGGCCGCTCGTGAGCGAAAGCGACTGCCGCTGCTGACTGCCGAATTGCCTGCCACGCCGAATTGCCCGCCTGCCCCTGCTTGCAGCTGCCTCCAATGTGAGCGGAGTCAGCCCGCCCGGCGAGCGTGGGGGGGTGGTAAATGTAGCGAATGCCGCACACGCTAACGTCACCACGCACTGCGCTCCTTGTTGTGCGGCGTCAATTGGCCACGCTCCGGATCATTGCGCTTCGTTCTCCCTTTGCATCGAGTTTGTCTGCAATTGCCTGGGCTGCGTGGAGGGGAGGTGGTGTGGGGTGTAGGTTCACTGCCACACACACACACAATGCCTGTAGTAGTAGTGGTAATAATAATACTATTACGGGGCTCTGCTTAAACGACCGCTCCCAAACAGCCACGACTCGTGCCGCAAACAGGGCGAGGTTCTTGCGCATAGATGACGTGGAGGCGGCAAGGCAGGGCTGCACTTGCGCACAAAGACAACGCTTCCCACCACCCCCCACCACCACCACCACCCCCCTCTCTATAGCATTGACAGACTTCTTGGCGGCAAGTGCTGTTAGCGAGCACCTGTGAAGGCAGGCAGGCACGGCGCACGAGTTGGAAGGGGTAGGTGGGGTTAAACGACAACGATCTCGCTTGAAGCCTTAAACAGACTTTTTGGGGCAAGTGCTAAGGGGCCGTCCATAAATGACGTCACGCGATTTTGGACGATTTTTTACACACCCCCCCCCCTTCGTCACACGGCGTCACAAAAAGTCAGACCCCCCCCTCAAATATGACGTCACAAAGCTCTGCCCCCCCCCCCCCAAAAAGAAAACACATGCTTCAAATCGCTTTAAACTATTGTCATTGTAAGTGCGTAATTAATGTGGCGCTGCACTCTGATGTTGTAGGAGAAAACATCAAAAAGTCTATTTAATTAAGTAGAACGTGTTGTCTACATTTATTTAAAGTTGCGCATTTTGATGTGACGTCACATTTCTCAACCCCCCCCCCCCCCTCGTCACACATCGTCACAAATGTCTGAACCCCCCCCCTCACCCCAGGTGCGTGACGTCATTTATGGACGGCCCCTGATTAAAAAAGAGACAGATCCAACCGTGTAGCCTTAACAGACTGTAGGGGCAAGTGCTGTTAGCGAGCACCTCTGAAGGCCACACGCACAGAGACACGCGAGACCCCCCCCACCCTCCAGCGGAACATCAAGCCAGCTGCAATGCCACATCGCATCATCCGGGAGCGAGTTTGAGGTGGGATTCTCGAGGGGAAGGGGGGGGTGGGGAAAGGCAATTACGCTCGGAGGGGTGGCACCACGAAGGATATTTAGGGGTCGTCCATAAATGACGTCACGCGATTTTGGACGATTTTTGACCCCCCCCCCCTTCGTCACACGGCGTCACAAAAAGTCAGCCCCCCCCCTCAAATATGACGTCATAAAGCTCTGCCCGCCCCGTCCCCCCCCAAAATAAAACATGCTTCAAATCGCTTTAAACTATTGTAATTGTAAGTGCGTATTTAATGTGGCGCTGCACTCTGATGTTGTAGGAGAAAACATTTATCAAAAAGTCTATTTAATTAAGTAGAACGTGTTGTCTGTATTTATTTAAAGTTGCGCATTTTAATGTGACGTCACATTTCTCACCCCCCCCCCCTCGTCAAACATCGTCACAAATATCTGACCCCCCCCCCCAGGTGCGTGACGTCATTTATGTAACCCTTAATGGGTTGGCACATGCAGCGAAGTGGATCGCCACCCCCACACCACAACCACCGCTTGTACAAAAGTTGAGGGGTAAATGACCTCCCCACCCCCCAACTCAAGCCCGCAATGATCGAACTCGCGTCGCAACATCACCGGGGGCAGCGGCAGCCACCGTTTCCGAGAGGTCATTCGAACATCGAGGGTTCGTAGTGGTTTTCACAAGGTGTCGCGGGATTCCACAGACAATTTTCACAAATTGTAGGATAAAACATTTTCACAAATTGTCTGTGTTGTACGTGCGCGCGCATATGCTCGTGAGATGTGAAGTCAAGGATGAGGTAGGGGAGGGAGATTCCCGCCTAGACTTGACCGTGACCAAATATAGGTCTGCACCGGCGAGCAAGGCAAGCCAGTGTGGCCATACCAACACGGCAATTCCGTAGAATTTGACGCCACTGCAGACGTTTACAGGAAATTATTGCACCGAAGTTTGCACGGTCATTCTCCCAAAGCAAACTCGTCACATTCCCCGTCAAAAACATGCTCATTCTCTGGTTTATTTTTAAAAAAATGCAGGGACAGGGGACGCGAAGGGCTTTGTTGTACAGTAATCGATTACGTATGTAGCTTAACTCGGTACATTCCCATAGGAATTCCCATAGGAATGTACCAATACGTCATCGTGTAAGGTCAAATACGTATCCAATGTAACTGATAATATAATCAGTGATTAATCTCAGCAGGACCGGTCCAGAACGCTGCTCCCAGCCACATCCATCTCGCCATGTGTTGTTCTAAAAAGGTTTTTTTTTTAAAATGATAAATTAAAGTATTTACAGTAATATAGGCGTGTCTCGTTTAACAAGTGAGATACGTTCCGCGAAAATTGCCCGTTAAGCGAAACACTCGTTAAACGATCGTCGTTTTCTCAAATGTTCACTATAAGAACATTTGCTCGCTTTGTGAACAAATTGGTGCCCGTCATCGCGAATTCTAGAAAGAACACGCGTTAAGTGAGACGCCTGTACTGTGAGTATAGCATCCCAGACCACACCTTTCCAGAGTTGCAGCAGATATACTTTATCGCAAAGAGTGCAGTGCAGAATTGACGTTTTTGTTCCAAGTTTAATTCTGCAGTGTGAAAGAACTGAGTTTGCAGCTGAAAACAGCGGCTGCATGGGAATTTGCAACCTTGGGAGGGATGCTGTAAATCTGCTTGGATAGCGATTTATACCAAAAACGGTGTATTGTGTCACACCAGAACCACACGTTTCATTTTGGAACAACCTCGATCTTAAACCACAAATCTCCCACATTCTTCAAGGGTCTATATTACACTTTGCAGTGCTAATTTCAGCTGTGCTTAAAGATAGGTCGTTTTATGTGTATTTGAGCTGAATATTGTATAAATATTGTGTATTGGCCGAACCAAACTGATTGCTAAACATATTTGAAGGATGGGTTATATACCTATATAATCTTGATGACCAAACGGAAGCCATCAAACTGACTAAATAAAATAACATTTGGCTTTATGTTTGATAAGCAATTGTGATTCAGGTACACGGCCTCAGTAGAGCTGGCTCATTGCTTTGGCACACACATTATTCCCCTGTGACTGGATGGATGCCAGTAGTACAAATGGGATATAACCAGTACCAATGCATGCAGTATATGCTGCACATTATTCACGTTACTCAACTCCCTTGCTGCTTACCTCCCCCCGCCATAGGAATGTGGAATTTTTTTTTACCGCGGGCTTAGGGCCGCAATGGGAAAGGGGACCACCACATTTCACGTTGCATCAGATTGACACTGTGGCTTATGACTCTGATTTGATTACGGTACAGTGTAAAAATATTTTTTTGTCTACATTTATACCTCACCCACTCGTTTACTCAAAATAAGCAACAAAGCAATGGTATGGACAACGCATTTATAATGATGACACTAGGCAATCCTTTCATGGTCTCATATTTTTTAATGTTCACCAAAATGGAGACTTAATACCGGTAACAATCTTCCACTTACACACCATATGGCTTCTTTTTTTTTTAAACAGCATTCTTAACCAAAAATGGCTGTTGTTGAAGAGGATCGCAAACGCTGCCTGCCCAGCGTGGCTGTCAAACAAAAGGCCTTGCGACCTTTGCCCTTCATGTGTCTACAAAAGAATGCATACACACGTACAATATATTTACAACTGCCAGTCGAAAAGCTACGACGAGTAATGGCACGTAAAAAGCTACAACAGCAAATCAAATAATTTAGCGCACAACACAGGGCCTGCCCTTAAAACATTTTTTTTACATAAGCAATAATTTCTGACTGTACTTTATTTTTAATAGCACGCATACCAGCTGGCCACTGAGGAATACTTTAAATGCCACGGGCTGAATACACATGAAGCATGGAAACTGTGCTCAGTGATTCAAAGCAATAGAAATACTGTACCTTTTAGAGACACTATAGCTCTGTATACGTGTGAACCATTACATTGCCATTAATGCCATAGTACAGATTCCACATTCGCAAACTTGCCCTCAATAGTATAACACTACTGTAGGTATGATGTTACAAATATCCATGTGCCTATTCAGAAATTAATTGCTAAAGGGATAAACATGATAAATTATGTGTGACGTTGGGCTGAGTCAATTACCGACTCAGATTTGAACTCACGACATTTTGATGCGAGTCGTACAAACCGCCAGTGCTTACTGGCTAGATTGGATTATGAACATTGGTAGATATGAAACCAAATTGTATTTTTCCTCGCAAGCCTGGCGGTGCACAGAACCAGCTATGCTTATTTAGACGTGTATGAGTTATTGTTCTATATTACATACAGTATATAAAATCTATGTGCATGGCCCATGTGTGACCTGGCATGAACCGGCAGTTGTGTTGACAATTTATTCTCACACTATGCAGTACATCACCATGGCACGAGTGTCACCAAACAAGCCAAGTCTTAATTTTATAGTCTAAGTGCCACCAAAGTCTGTTTCCACTGGAAATGATTGATGAGGAAGAGAGTGAGGGTGCTGGGTGACAAGATGTTAACTACTTCGCCTGGTATACATGAGGTCAGGGGTTCGACCCCAACCCTGACGTCTGTATATTTGGAGTTTGCATGTTCTCCCCGTGGTCGCGTGGATTTTTTTTTTATCCAGGTCCTCCAGTTTTCTCTTCACATTTAGAAAAATGCAATTCACGTATTTGGCTGCTATAAATGTACACATCATACGCCACTTCGTTGAGCTATGATTTGCTTTTGATAAAGAGCTATATAGCTCAGTGGCCTTACCTGGTAAAATAAAAAAAATGTTTTAGTTTAGTTTATAGGTTGCTGGCGATGGGAGGAAACCAGGTGAACATTGGGATTATTCAACCCAAGGCATAACACACCCAGAACCTCAAACCGTCCGGCTTTCTTGGTGTTCAAAGTAACAATAACAAGTGTGTCAGTACGTATCATGAACTTGAAAAAGTGGGAATATTTGGCAGACTTGAAAAACTGATACACTGGTGCTGAAGGATGAGGACGTCTGCTTTGAAGGGATTTACAGAAATTGCTGCCCATATGCACACAACCCAGGCTAGAGTAGAATAACACCAGCACAATAAACCAAGGCACCCTCAATCACCTGTTGGCTGCCAGGTAAAATACAATCTGATGAGTAGACTGAGGTGCCAATGAAGAATAACCAACAATTTCAATCGTTATATCACTGCTAAAATGAGCAATGGGAC